AAATGGGTTTTTTGCTAAGAATATTCTTATCGTAATTATGTTGTATTCTGAGAATGTTATGTTAAAAATAAAATTTAATATACCGGTATAAAATAATTTTTATCCTTTAAAAAGTTTATTCATAAAATATTTTAATTTTAAAGATATTGATTCCGATCTCATATTATTCTAATGTATTCTAAAAATAATTAATACAAATAAAAATATGAATTTTGATCCGCATTTGAATGCTTAGAATGTCTTCGCATTAATCAAAAGATTTCAGAATATTCTTTAAAATAAAGAATAATTTTTAATAAATTATTTATATCTTATTATTCTGTATATCAATCATTGAATTGCAATAAAACATAATAAATTCAAATAAGTTAGTACTGTATAAAAAGTATAACTTATTTTTCAATCAGTACACGAGTTTCACAATCGTTTCCAAAAGTCTTTGAAAGTTATTAAAAATTATTTATATCATAATATTTATGTTATGTGAGAAAATAATTAAAAATTTATAAAAACACATTTTATAAAGTAAAAAACTTGGTTAATATACTTTGTGATAATCACTCTACAGTATTAACGTTTAAAAAATTGTAAAAGAATTTGTGAACAAACGATAGATATGTATAGTTTTTATATTCTTTTAAACATTACATATTCTACACACAAAAGTTATAATCTGTTTATTATATGTTTACTTTACAATGTAATGTAACGCTTACATTATTCTTACTATACTTAGGGTGACCAACTGTCCTCTATTTAGAGGACGGTCCTCTTTTTGGATATATTTTAAATAGTGTACTCTTAAGATTTATTATGAAAACCAAAGTTAAAACTTGTGTCCTCTATTTGTCATAAATTTTTATTGAATGTTTTCCCTATTGTCCTCTAAAACTCTTTGTAATGTCCTCTTTTTCCAAAATGGAAGTTGGTCACCCTAACTATACTGTACAGTATAGTCAAAACAAATGTATTGACATTAAAAAATAAATAAAACTTTAAATAATTTTATGATTTTATTAATAATTGAAGAATTGCTAATATATTGTTTATGAAGAATTTATTTCATTCTGTTTACTATGAATGCAATTCTTTGGTATTTATTTTGTGGTAATAAAACTTAAAAACAAAGAAAACATGTTTTCCTATATTTACATAAATTGTAGTTTATTGGCAATGAGTTTAATTTGAGTTAATCAATACAATAATACGGGTTTAATATACAAACAATAGACTATTTTTGGAAATTTTGGGCTATTTTTAAGTACTTGAAAGTAAAAACTATTTTTATAAATTCTTTTTATGTTGGATGTTTTGGTAAAATGACCATGGCTCAAATTAAGCATATAACAATTAATGTGTTAGGTTTTGTAAATACTGCATTAAAATTCATTATTTTATTACTGGCCATAATTTTTGACACAATTATTTAAATTACACTTTTTGCAAAATTATTCCATAAAATAAATTTTAATAAAATTTGAAATCATAATCTCTATATTTTTTGGATATGCCTTTTGTAAATGTGCATGCTTGTATTATGTATAAATTTAATATAATTCTAGTTTATAAATATACATTTCAAACAATTTTTGGTGCATAAACAGTCTTTGCAATCGACCTACACATTGGTCCAAACCTTTTAAGTCTAGACTCGTGGCTACTTTTATTTCAATATAATATAATATCGAGCTATCATTTTAAATTATTGAATTAAGAATTATGGTAATTCTTATTTATAGGTTTTATATTTCATTATTACTTTAATATACCTGTATAATTTATATTTAATAAAACTTAATACCGAACTATACAAATTTAGAGCTATAATATTTCATATTTATAATGGTATTTGTACTATAATTTCTTATAGTAAAGTATTTATTACTTAATTCATCATGCTAATTCTAAAATAAAAATATTAACGTTATTTACTTCGAACATAATAAAAATCTAAATGTTATTTACATAGAATAGAATAAAAATTCAATCAATCACAATTTGTTTGATAAAAATACTGAAAACATCGAACCAGTTATTAATTCACTAAACATATTATTAGTGAAAACTACAATAAAATGCAAAATATGTACTTATATTCAGGTTTCATTTATTTTTGTCATCAAATTTTAGATATTGTTTGACATATTATATATTTTAGTATAATGTAGTATTAAAGCACTAGTGGTGGGAATTATGATTCAATCATATTATATTATATTAAACATAACATCTAAATAAACATTTTCTACGATTTTTATGATATTTTATGATGTGATCTGCTTTTCATTCAAAAATAGTTTCATTTCCCAGAATCTATTGAATTGCAAAAATTATAAACAGAAAGGTTTGTCTGAATTTAACATTTTTCTTAAATGTCATGCAATAATAAAACACAGATATTCTATAGAAAAATGAGTCCACAATTAGATTTACAAAAGAAATTGTCAAATCAATAATGAATATGAATATTCAACTCATAGTACGCGGAATATTCTGTGTGTTTGTGGGTATGAATAAATGAATGAATAGGGTTATCGGCTTTTGGTAACCTTTTTTATACGGACCAAAACAACATTATATACCTAATGGATGGCATCTAATGAATGAATCCATTAATAGATTTTGGACCACAAAAATACCACAAAAACAAAATTTTTGGCTATAATTTGGGAAAGAGTTGTAGGCGTTTAGAAAGTGAATCCTCATATGAGAAAACAGTCGCACAGAAGTGTGCGCTATATTGCAGTCCATTATTTATTGGACTGACATTTGAATGTTTGGGTTTGAATGAGACGATTGAATGAGTGAATGAAGAGTACAGCGAAAAACGTAACTCCAAATTGAATGAACGGAAAGTTTTTTGTATATTTCCTGCAAAATCCATAAGTGAATGAGATTTCCAGTTATACTCCAATAATCATTTGATCAATCGTTTTGATTACAATCATTACGATATTGTAGTAGTTTTCCATACATTTATGTTAACGACTCATTAATCTGAAGTCTCAATGCATTAGTTTCTCATTAAATATTAAATTTAATGATTATCTCTCAGCAAAAATTAGCAAAATTTCTCATGAATTCTGTATTTTAAATAATAAGCGCTGAAAAAGACATCAAATCATTAAAAATTCTTGCAATCGATTAAAGAATTAAGGCTTAAAATGCATAATAATTTCTTAGAAAAGGGGAACAAAAAGATGTCATTCTCTTAAATAACGTGTTATTTATTATTTGTTTAGCATTTCAGTGAAGTTAAGCAAAGATATGCGGATTTTTGTGTGATTTTTAGAATCTGAGCATTGGTTTTGCGAAATCCTATTATTATATCATCTAATCTTTAACTTAATTTAATGGCATTTTATTAACACACAAATGATAGGCATTTAATATACACACAAACAAAACGCCCGTATATTATATTATATAAGAAAACTCGTTTCAAATGAGTTAAATCTCTTGAAAATTCATTAATGTCTCCATTGAATGGCATTTAAGCTGAAGATAGTATAGTCTAATATAAAGTTATATAATAGTAAAAATAGTTTATCATCTCTTTTGCTGAAAGCATTTTCACAACAGAAAATAGGGACACAAAAAACTGTTGGCATTAAAAGGAGTTCATAAAAATAATATCAGTGGTGATGGTATGGATGTGTGGATGTGTTGCATGTGATGCTGGCCTACACTTACTACTAGTCCTCCGGTGCCAACAGTAGTTGTATTGCTATTGAATGAGCTTTTTATTTGTTAATTAAAATTGAAGTCACGCTGAGATCTCTTCTTCGCCTCCATTGACGCACAATATATTAGGATATTATTAATGTGTTTCACAATTGGAGACACAATTCATATCAAAATTTAATTTAATTTCCATTATTTTTGAGCTTTTTTTCAATGTTTGAAATATTTTTCTGCAATGTTTTATAAATAAATTAACAAATGTTTTGATTAAATCAAGAAGTCATGAGAGAGAGAGAGAGAGAGAGAGAGAGAGAGAGAAAATAGTACTTTAACTATAGGCTACAACACAATCGGACAAAATTACTACAAACTAGTAATCATTACTGAACTAAAAATATAAGTAATTAGCGTATATTATATAATATCAATTGTATTTATAGTAAAATATTCATTGAGTATACCAAACTATTACTAAAATTAAACATTCATTATGAATTTCAGCATATTACACCTAATTTTATCAAAATCAATAAAATTACTCTAACTTATAGAACTTTTTAAAATTTGAAATCATTAAATTTATTAATTGATTATATTTTAACTAATTAAATTGAAGAGTTAATGAAATTGAATATGAATTTAATATTTTGTTCAATTCTTAAAATATAAATGACATAAAAATAAAATTGTTTTAAAGAGTAAGTTGTGTTGCTGTGAATGTATTGCAATACTTATTATGACAGGAATTGCAGACCAGAAATAAAATTAATTCATTTATTTATTAAGTGTTAGTGAACTTTGATTTGTTATTTGTTAATATCTTTCCCAGTCTTTCATTGCTCTGTAATTCCTTTAAGTCACACTTTATTGCGAAAAGATATAGGAATTCATGTCTATTATAACAATACATTGTTTTACAGATAAGAAACGGAAAAAGAGAGAGAGAGAGAGAGAGAGAGAGAGACTTTTAGCAAAAGATATTAAAATATACTTAAATTATCAAATTAATACATCAAAAAAGTAATAGTACTGTACTACAGATTATAAAATCACTTATTTTCATGATTTTTATTGATAATGAAATGAATGGTTTAAATGAAAATACAAATTCATCAAAAATATCAAAACACTAATTGACTCATTCATCTTGTGTTATATCAATGTCTACAACAATATCTTCTTTTCCGGTGTCGTCTTCAGTCAACTTTTCAAAAGCCATTTCTTCGTCTTCTTCTTCCTCCTCGCCTTCGTCTTTATTGTCTTCTGTTATCACTTCATCTATTGTCTCAGCGGTGGCTTTGGTCTCATCCATGGCTTCAGCGGCACTCGAATCGGCTGTTCNATAAGAGAATGTAATCGTTTTGTTGGCCCTGATATTTGTCAACAGTTGTTATCTAAACAAATAAAATCACCACAAATTGTAAAACATTGACTTTGGATGAGATAAAAATCTAGAGACAAACCATTGCTGGAAATCCAATGAAAGGATTGGAAGCGCACCGCTGTTTGACGACATCGCGAATCAAATGCTTTTGTCCGTTATATGTGGTCAAAATGGTGATGCGGTCGGCCGGGTATCCGAGTAAACGCATGTACATAAACGTGGCCACAACGTACTCCGCTTCAGCCAAGTTCTGCGTTTCATCAAACAATTAGACATCCATTTCATGGCAATCAATGCAATACCTGATAGAAATATGGCACGGGTTCTGACTCTCCCACACCATTGAAATCGTCAACGTTTATGAGTTGGTAATCAAAACGAAAGCCTAAATCACATGTTTTATAACAAATGTTAATTAAATTAAATTATAGTTAGAGAAAAGACAAACTGTGAAAACAATACCTGAATTTGCGAACTGATACTCGGGAAGAGCGGACACGTGGGCCAAATCGCCTAAATTCTTGTACCGCCACTTGTATAATGAGCAGAGGGAGGGTCGGGCGCGCCCCTGAGCGTCCAGATCGATGGTGGGAACGCCTAACCGCACGAATCGCCACTTGTCGCTGACAAGGTATAAGCTCTTGAAGACCTTTCACTACAAAAACTACTGACCGCCGTTGACCACCACTAGCGGCTAGTATTAGGTGGCGAACTCGGCTAACACCGGCAAGAGGCCCAAGAGCAACAGCAGAGGTATGAATGTCTCGATCTCCAGAATCTGTGCCGACTCTTCCATCAGAATGTTGTCGTATTGGAAGCCATAGCCGACCAACTCTTTGCGTTTGAGGGCCGCGTGTGTGCACGTCATGGCTATAATCTTGGCCTCTCTGACCAACAGGTAATTGCTTCGGTCTAAACCCGTCCGCAACATCTCGAAGGCCTTGAATTCGTCCAATTGTGTGAACATCTTCTTTATATACCGATAACATCCGCGCGCTATCTCCAGGTCCTCATCCAATGACTGGCCTTTAAATAGTGGCTGCGGAGCCGTCTCGAAGAACTTGTAAAACGGGAACAGTTTGGCCACAGTCTCCACTGTCTTATTTGACCGCAATTTATTCATATACTGTTCCCAACGCGACAATACGTGATATAAATAGAAATAACCGGCCGTTTCGCAAGTGTAGCCCACGTCCGACTCTATGGCCAAACTTCTGGCCAAAAACTCCACTTTATTGAGTAAATCGATTCGTTTGGCCAACACATAGTTGACGCGTCCGTATCGACTGAAGTCTTTGTCCGTTTCGAGCGCTTCCTCTCCGTGTCCTAAACGGAGTAAATGCCTTTCGTCGACGTCGAGCGCCATTATCTTCTCGAACAGTGCGTTCAGCGCCTGATTAGAGTGAGTGACGATTAGTGTCCGCTGTTCCGGGAAATTATGGTAAATGTTTGATATGATCTGAACGGCGACATCCGTTTTGCCGGTTCCGGGCGGACCGACCAATACGGTTAGGCCCGGCTGTACACCGGCTTTGATGGCCTCCACTTGAGTGGCCGTAAAACGAACGGTATTTGTCTTCGGCTGTTCCACAAGATATGGCCCTCTATTGGGCATAACATATGGAGTGACAGTCAGTGACTTCTTTGGCTCTACTTTTTCTTCCTCTTTGATATCATTGTCTTTCTTATCCATCGATTCCTCGTCTTCGGAGAACGTTATCTTAAACGGCGGAAGCAATTGCAAAGATTTACAATCGATTTGTATATCATATCCTGGAAACGATTCTTTCAAGTGTTCAAAATCGATAAAAGTGTCACAAAAATCAATGGTCGATAACTTTGAGGCCATATTCGAGTAGTGAGCGGCTGATGGGTCACCAAATCCGAGCACCACTTCTTGCAGCCATTCGGGAACAACACATTCAGTATTCATTAGATCTCTAATGGTCTCCAAAACGGCTTTGAAATTATTCTCTTTTGGTTTACGTCTGACAAGAATGTTAAACGTGTCGTAAATGTCTTCGTCGGTATCACCCGATGTTTTGTCCATATCTTCCTTATATTGATTGCAATCCAACCAAACCCTAAACGTTCTGAAGTCTGTGTTATAGAATGGTTTGTCGAGTGCCGTCTCGTCGATGATCTTTCCCTGCGGGTCAAGCAGTCCCTCGATCTCACAGCCCCTCACGTATGTGAGGCCAACCTGTGGTACAAACGGCTCTTTATATTTATAAGGAGTTCCCGGCGGACACGCGGGCCGAACAGTGATCAAAAAGCACACGTCGTGTCTCCGCAATGATTCCCATTCGTGTTTCACTTCTCGCCGAACGTTTAGATTGACGACAACATCGGCTCTCACTCTCGACGGATGTTTTTCGCCTAAATTTGGTTTTCGCACTTCAATTATAGTGAAACTGTCGATCCCGATGGCCATCCGCGCCCACCCGCCAAACATCACTCCACCCGTCTCTGTCCGCCACGGCTTCATATGCGAGACCGAGTCCTCGATGTCCTGACGGATCTCATACGTGGACTCCAAACGAAACAAATGAAAGTTTCGCAGCAAATAGTCGTGAAGAGTGAGGAACTGGAGGTTGAGTTTCGGGAGTGCGAGACAACTGTCGCCCGAGAAATACTGAGACGACACCAGATTCTCGTCCCAAATGATTGCCTCCGAAGGATATAAAGGCATTTCGTTGAGCGCCTGCAGTCGCGACGTCTGTCTCTCGTGTTTACTAACAATCAAATCCAGTATTAGATTGCGATCATTGGCTGCGTTCAACACTTCCTCATCGCCCAGACCTAAAAGTGCCGCCAATTTAACTAAATCTGAATCGTTTAACGCCTGGAAGTGCTTCTTAAGCGCCGATTGAGTGTCGATCGCCGATACGTTCGCAATGAACACGTCTTTGAGATCTGGAAAGTGTTTGTATACTTGAAGTTGCATTCGATGTATGCATTCGTAATGCCTTTTCATAATCTGTTGTTCAGTCATCGCCTCTCCGGTCATGTCGTCGATCTCAAAGTCCGAGTAAAACAAAAGCATTTCCAAGAGTTGACCGAACAGTTTGGACTCATTGCCGGTCCGTTTGGCCAAATTGGACGACCGGGCGATTATGACGACATGCATGTCGTCCATCAGTGCGCTGAAGAAGCGTCTCGTCTGAAGAATGGACTCCAAGTCGATCATCAGTTCCAGAAAGCGTTCGCAATAATGGATCACATCGTATGTCTGTTTATCGAGTTTTGGCCGCTCTTTGGCCGACGGAATGAGTGACAGATATTTGAAGAACTGTTTAATCAGTTCCGACAAAAAACTTCTCTCGAAGAGAACGCGTTCTTTGGACTCGTTGTCCATCAGATTGTCCTTCTTGTGGATCGCATTCCAATACTTCTCAAGTTTTGGCAGTTTTTTAAATTCAAATTCTCGGCGTTTTGTCGATAATTGTGACCAAAGGCTGAGCGACACGTACTTCTGGATCTCGTCGCGAATGATCTTCACTTCAACGCCATTAAAACAATGGATAATAAAGAGCAACAGAGAAGTGCGCTCTTTGAATGACAAGTCGTTGGCCTTAAATATCATCAAACGAGTGATTGCGGCCATAAAGTGGCCGAAGAATTGCGGTCTCCGTTGGAAGCACTGCCAGACGTGAACTCTTTCGCGAAACTTCTCGTTAATCATAACCACAATTGACATCAAGTGTTGGGTCGACGGCTGGCCATCGGTGTCGTCCGTCGGGCCATAGTTAGGCCACAAGTAGTTCTCGAGGTATTGACTCAACTCTAAGATCATAACCCGTTTGACATTAAAGCCGTCGCTTTTGATCTCATTATTATAGATGTCTTGAATGAGGTTCGGATCAAATGGCGACCACTTGTCAGCGGTGGTCGGCGACCAGTATTTGGCGGCCAATCCATTCAAATAGTCGGCATTCAGTTCCGTATTCGTCACCACAATGTCTGGCATTGTGTTCGCGGATCAACTCAAGTGATGAGCGATTAAAACACAATTAAAAACATTTTGCAAACATTTAATCACAAAAACAAAACTGTTTTGAAAAATGAAACAATCATTTAAATCATATGTTCACACATTACGTGACTATTATATCAATTTATAACCCCTTTCTGTAATTACATAACAGTTATGGTATTTAAAGTGTATTTTACAACATTTCTAACCCTAACTCATCAAAACAGTGTTACGTTGTTTGCGAATAATATTTACGTTTTGCGTTATTTTGTCGAATGAAAGCACATGTTATGGTTGTGTAACATCTTATATGAACAGCGCTTACAATAAATTGCATCATAAATGCGTGAATTGATTGAGAGAGCAGTGAAAGTGTATTGTCTCTGATTTTCTCTACAATTGACTCAATTGTCGGACACGTGCTGTCACTTGACTCCCATCACCGGTGCTCTCATCGCAATGTCTTCATCACAACCAACAGATCCACAGAAAGTCAGTTACTATTCGGACGAAAACGAGTAAGAACCCGGAGAACGGCCACAATCGGCTCAAGCGGTGGATTATGATCGGCGATCACCACCAGTTGCCGCCAGTCATCAAAAACATCACTTTCCAGAAGTTCTCGAATATGGAACAGTCGCTGTTCACCCGATTCGTGCGATTAGGCGTTCCCACCATCGATCTGGACGCTCAGGGGCGCGCCCGACCCTCCCTCTGCTCACTATACAAGTGGCGGTACAAGAATTTGGGCGATTTGGCCCACGTGTCCGCTCTTCCCGAGTATCAGTTCGCAAATTCAGGTATTGTTTTCATAGTTTGTTTTTTCTCTAACTATAATTCATTTTAATTAACATTTATTATAAAATGATTTATAACATGATTTAGGCTTTCGTTTTGATTACCAACTCATAAACGTTGACGACTTCAATGGTGTGGGAGAGTCAGAACCCGTGCCGTATTTCTATCAGGTATTGCATTGATTGCCATTAAATGGATGTCTAATTGTTTGATGAAACGCAGAACTTGGCCGAAGCGGAGTACGTCGTGGCCACGTTTATGTACATGCGTTTACTCGGATACCCGGCCGAACGCATCACTATTTTGACCACATATAACGGACAAAAGCATTTGATTCGTGATGTCGTCAAACAGCGGTGCGCTTCCAATCCATTCATTGGATTCCCGCGTTACCAAACAGAGATCTAAAAATAGAGTAGGTTTCAGTTACAAAATGTTAAACACCACTAAAATAAACAAATCTATTGTTGACAACTGTTTATAGTCCCGGTTGTTTTGCTAATGTAAGAGAATACGCTGGTTCGGACCAAAACGGTTGGTCACATACGGGATGTGCGGCGACTGGTAGTCGCCCTCTCCAGAGCCCGTTTGGGACTCTATGTCTTTTCGCGGGTCTCTCTCTTCCAAAACTGTTACGAACTCTCGAATGCATTCAAACTGTTAACACAGCGACCGCTTTATCTTCATATCGTTCCCACCGAAGAATATCTAAATAGTATTCGAAAAGTGACCGATTCTTTGCCCGACGACCAGACAGTGGTGATCGAGAATATGTCACAAATGGTTCAATTCGTGTATCAATTTTATCAGCAAAAAATAGACGAATGGAAAACACATAAACCAGAAATGTTTGAGAGATTAGTTGACAGAACAGCCGATTCGAGTGCCGCTGAAGCCATGGATGAGACCAAAGCCACCGCTGAGACAATAGATGAAGTGATAACAGAAGACAATAAAGACGAAGGCGAGGAGGAAGAAGAAGACGAAGAAATGGCTTTTGAAAAGTTGACTGAAGACGACACCGGAAAAGAAGATATTGTTGTAGACTAACTATATTGTGTTCTACTTACTCAGTTAATCACAAAACTATAAAAACTACTTAAACATAAAAGTAAATTTGGTAAGTAAAGTAATAGTTATTTTTAGTACTTTTATTCACTAAAATATTAGACATCTATGCAGTTTTTTATATATATTAATTTGATAATTTGAGTACCGTATTTACTCTCATAAAAACACCCGGTAATATTATGTGAAATCCAACAAAGGGGGGTAATCTTATCCAGGTAGCGTTACCCCTATATTTAGGGTCATGATTACATCTTACTAAAAACTTATACATACCGTATTTACTCTCATAAAAACACCCGGTAATATTATGTGAAATCCAACAAAGGGGGGTAATCTTATCCAGGTAGCGTTACCCCTATATTTAGGGTCAACTAATGTAGAATGATTTTTGAATATGATATGATAACATGAAATAACGAATACTCAGCTTATGCTATATTTAAATGAGCAATAATTACTGAGTAATTGTTAATTAATTGCGGTTTAACATAGGTAAACCTGACAGTCAATAGCATTCACTAAAATGTCTCAAATTGTTAGTTTGTCTTCAAATAAAGACATTAATGATAATATGGTGACAGCTCTTAACTCTGGACTTAGAGATACAGTAAAAGCTCGATAGAGTAAGGCTCGATAGTGTTTTTTCGATATAGTGTCCAAAATATTTTTGTTTGGCGGCCACTGTATACCTGTAATGCTATTTATGCTCGATATAGTGACTCTCTATACAGTGTTTATTCGATATAGTGGCCAGAATTTTGTTATTTTTGGTTAGTTTTGACTATTTTTAAGCTCTCTATAGTGTTTTATGATATGAGATAATTATTTTTTGTCTTGCAATGATTTGAAATGAGAAAGTTTCATTTAAATTGATAAACAAATATAAAATTTTTATCTCAAAAACATTAAACAATCAAAATAAATGATTATTACATTTTTACCAGTATATACACTTATTTTCACTACTATTCTACAGACATTCGCTATAGTGTTCATTCGATATAGTGTCCTAAAAACTTCTCCAACTGCTCAAGCACTATATCGAGCTTTCACTGATAGAATACTTATAAAGAATTTATATAACAAACTTAAAATATTTTAGTAAACGATAAACTTACTTATTTATGGGAAGTTAACTTAAAGTGTATCGCAATGGCCATTGTTATACACTCAAAATCATTAGGGGGGTAATCTTATCTAGGTAACATTACCCCTGTTTTGAAAAATC